TGAGTTTTTAGCTGAATATGATCAAAAATCGTTTCTATGAAAAATAAATGCCATAGATTTTTCTCAATCGTGAGTGACATTATCAATGAAAAATTCTGTTTAGATATGTACCTGCTATTAGAACTCGTATATTGGGTCAACAAGGAAGTCTCATTGAGTCGGGAGAAAACGCTAAAGGTTTCGTCATCAACAATTGTCGAAACCGAATTTTCGAGTGATCTTTACTTATCTACAAAAAACTATAAAAAAAATAAGTTTCAACTAAACATTTTGCTCATAGACAGGTCTGATAAATTTTAGAATATCTTAAAGTTTTCAGTCAAAAACAATATGCCTTTGCGAGACATTTCATTTTTCAAGTAAAATTGTTTTTTTTCTGTGACGTGTCTGTTACAATCTCTAAACAAAATTTTGAGTCAAAATTGAATTATTTGACTTTTTCAGTAAATATCTCAAGTTCGCTCGAAACTTCAAGGAAACTATTAAAACTATGATTCGAAGACTCATTGAAACGAGTCTTTCTGGAATCTTGCTCGTATCACCTCGCATGATTCTCTCATAAGTTAATTTGTCGTTATTCTGATCTCTTTGAACATTCATTGATTGTGATTAAAGCTTACGAGAAAGTACTTTCTTGCTATGAAACCAAGCTATTATCCCAATAAAGAATAGATATTTTGGCGCTTTGTTCAAACATATTGGATTCATACATGTAACCTCTTAAGGTGTATGTTACCAAATGTTGAATAAAAAAATATCTTCACTTTGACTTATTTCGCATTTGATCTTACTGAATTATTCCTTCTGAATTTGACGTGAAGTAAGAATAGGAGCTGCTATAAATTTGATTGAAATTTTTAATGGATTTGAAAACTAATGGTATTACATTGCCAAAGATGAAGCTTCTGCTCCCCTAAGTTTTTGTTTGATAAAACACTGATCATAGACGACATCGATACTATCAACAAATACGATGATCGTGTCGAAGAACCAGTATTCCGAGAATCATATTCATTTGACGCAAAGATTAACTAAAGTATCTTTCGCTTGGCTGATAGGAGAAATCGACACAGTTGGTTTTCGTTCTAATCCAATGGATCAGAAACTTTTAATTAAAGAGTATACAAAGCAAGTCGTGGGCAACAATGATACGACACCACTTGTTCGTGCATACACGGAAAAAACATGTTTCGTTACCAAACTGAATGTGAAGAGTTAGCGAATGGTGGATCCCATTTTCGATTTGAGAGAAGCTTTGAAATGAGCAACACAGTTTATTGTGATAATGATCCAACAAAAGGCATTGGTCAATAAGTTTTGGTTGCCATAATCTGTCATCATCAACACTTACAACAGTATCATCATTACATTTCGACAACCTATCTCTTCGTCTATTGATTAAACCGTCTTGCAGAGTTCTCTAATGAATGGCACTGTTGACATGGAATCGAATCATCAAGTCAGAGGGCGTGGGGTGTGGGTGTGGAGTACCTATTCACCCACACCACGCCCTCACCCACCCACCCACACCTAGCCACCCACACCCACACCCACCTCGATAAAAAGAAAATGAAATATTTTTACGAAAACGTCAAAGTTCGACCAGTATCCAACAATTTCCTTTCATTTAAACATAAGCATGTTTTCAAATAGCTTTAAAAAATTGTTTGAAACTATTAGACAGGACTAGGAACTTTAATATTATTTGTCTAACATTAAAATCTTCATCCAAAGATTTCTGATAATTTTACAAAGAATCAAATTCAAGGACTCCAAATGTTATCATTGTTAGAATTTGCTTTTCTTCCCAACAAAAAAAAAAGGATTGAGCATCCTAATACGATTGATATGGTTCAATAAAAATGCATTTTATAAACAAATGTCGTATTTCAAGGTATAAATATGAATTAAATTTGATTATTATTATTTTAGGATCGCATACATGCTCATTTGCTCTTCACTTACCATCATATTCAACGATTGATGTCATGTCCGAGCGTTTGAATTATGCAATTACTCATTGTTGGAGTATCGATGTTGATGGTTAAAACTGAGCAAAGCTATCTGAGAGCATAAACTTGAACTCGAATCAGATTTTCGTAAAACAAATGTTAATGCTTTAAACAGCTCTTTTTTTAAAGTAATTAACCCTTTCGCAACGATGTGACCTACCGGTGGGTCACACTATATTTTAAAGTCGACGAGTGACCCAGAATAAATGGCCGCACTTTGCATTTCATATTTTAACCTATAAATACGTTTTATTAAAAAAACCAGCATGTATCATGAGATGCAGCGTGAAACGCTCTACAGTCTGCATTGTAAAGCTTATTTAAATTGCGGCCACTTATTCTGAGTCACTCGTCACTTTCGATGAAAATCGAATCGTCGCGGAAGGATTAATCATAAACATCGAAGATAAGCGCTTTTCTCGAGATTTGAATGCGAAATTTCAATTTTTCATAATTTTTTTAGACTTCCCGTGTTCAATAACCATGAAGATCTCATTGAGCTAAAATCCAACAAATGAAGTACAGGGCAATTCAAACGTAAGGAAAAATAATGGGTATCCGATAATAACTGATGAAAAACTGTTAATAATATTTTTCATACTTTTTATTAATATAAAGAGTTGAAATTTTTATTACATATATTTAATATAAGTATCATGCTTCATTATTCTGTGGAGTGACTTTCTGGTTCTTGTTGCGGTATAGTTTGAGAAATAATACAACAATAGATCTTGCAATTATGACTAAACCGCCATAAATTCCAGTAATATTCAATGTTACGTCCAGGATATCACGATGTCCACTATACGAATAACTACATAAAAGTGGTTCACATTTAGAAAAGTAATTTTCATATGATATGTTTATTGAAAAATTTTCAACCATTAATTTATTTAATATAGATTCAATAGTTGAATTTGTTAAGAATT